ATACTCCACTGTGCTATTCTTTCAAATACATTTCGAATATTTTTTTTACAAGTTTTTTTATATACCACTTTTTACATTACATCCATTCCTATTTTTCCAAATTTTCAAGCACAATATTTTCACAAATTTTACTATACCAACATGATTTCAGGAACAATACATCTCCCAAATACACATTCCAAATACAAACAAATTTCCAAACAAGAAATCTCCATTTCGAAATGACGAATTTTCACACCGTCTTTTACTTACAATACACCCTCTCCCCCTGTCATAAACCATCCATTACAAAAAAAACAAAAAAAGAAGAATAAAAAAAAAATCCTTCTTTACAAATTTTCATGACGCTTTTTACGACGTTTCACCGTCATAAACCGTTGCACTATCGCTCTCAACACCGATACAACACCGATATATATATATATATATATATAGTATATCTCACGCACAGTGGAAAGATCAGCCATATCGGTATATGCAATAAAGTCGAGACGCAAAGGTTCTCGAGATCGAACGTCAAAGATATTTTTCGCTCTCCTCCCCCTTTCCCCCCCCCCCCGAACAGACGTGCGCAGACGCTTTTATACGCTTCCGTTTTCATTTTCTTTTTTCCCGGAATCCGCCGCCTTTTTCAGCCTTTTTCCACGCAGACGATAGGCGTATAGAGCGAATGCAAAATGGTTTAAGATATATAGAGCGGATATAGGGTGGGGGTGGTGCCTCTTACCCACCTCCTTTTTCTATCGGCTTTCTCTGATCGCTCGGGCCTGAAATCGAGACACGATACGGACTCACGAACCATTTACCTCTCCTCGGCTATCGACGATTCCCGTACCAACCCTCGAACGACACGTATTTGGCAAAATTTCAACCCCCTCCTCTCTTTCAACGCGAGAATTTTTTCGTCTAGTGTTTTAGCTAAATAAGCGGACGAATAATGCCGTAGAGTGGAATGTGGAAAGTTGATAAATGTAGATATTGAGTTTCAATGCTATAGAGTGGAATGTGGAAAGTTATATAAGTAACGTATATATGTAGAGTATATATTTTAATGTATGTAATGTATATAGTATGTATAATATATATAGAGTTGAATGTAAAAAATGGATAAGTAGAAAGGTGATAAAGGTTGATATTGGAGAAAAATGAGTTTTAATAAATAAATATAAAAAGTGGTTAAGTATTGGAGAAGGATGATTTAAAAAGTTGATAAAGTTGATATTGAGAAAGGATGAGTTTTAATAAAATATATGTAGTATATATATAATATATATAGAGTTGAATATAAAAAGTGGATAAGTATTGGGGAAGGATGACTTAGAAAGTTAAGATAAAGTTGATATCAGGGAAGGATGAGTTTTAATGCTATAGAGTTGAATATAGAAATGTTTAAAAATAGTTTATAGATGTTAAAACGATAGGAGAATTCTGATTCAGAATTTTAATTATCACTTATTTGATAATAAATTTTTTTTCTTCAGTACAGGAAAAATGAGGCAAATTGTTCAAATACTCGATAGATTCGCGATGTAATTTTTGAAATATAATAATATCGGGGGAGATTTGCACATTTGAAACTTTTAATTTTACTCGAATATTAGAGAGAAAAATTATTTGATCGAATAAAATTCTCAAATAATATATCTACATCTATCTAAAATAAAATTTATCTCCTATTTTATTCATAATATTTAATTCGGATGGAATAAAACGGGAATCTTTTAACCTTTCAAAAATTATTTAATCTTCCTTCTACTAAAATTACAAATACATCCAATAATTCACTGCCGTATACATCTAATTTACAAAATTAATTTAAAATTATTCTACATAAAAAGAAAGAAAGAAAGAAACTTAAAATTTCTTCAACAACTCTTCGCCCTCCCCCCCCACACACTCAAAGAAATCATTCGAAACGATATATAATATTTTATTTCACAATCTGATTTCAAAAGTATCTTTACCTTACCTTTGCACTTACACAATGCCTCCGAGGAAAGGATCAAATATTCATCGATTCGAAGGAATACAAAACGAAATAAATCAGCCGCAAAAAGTGGTCGACGAAATAATAAACCTCGCGAAAGCAAAATTTCCGGCTGATCGGGCAAAATCCATTTAACAAGCCTGCCTCATTGACACAGGGGGGGGGGCGCTCATAATCGGCTGATTTTCCGGCTAGATAGCCGTGTCGTGCGGCTGGGGAAGACGAGCGTTTAACACGGGCGGATTTCGGTCGGTTTTCGCGCTGTAGGCGATTTCCACGGAGCGGCGGAACGCCAATCTGTCTTCGTTTGGTGTACCGTTGCGCGGAGCGCGCAACACACCCGGACACGTC